GCTCCCTACTCTGTCCTGTATTGCTGGGCCAGCTGGCTGCCTGTATCAATGGTAGAGCTTCCCTTACAGGTGAGGGCCTGACATTTTGATTTCTTTCCACCCAGAGCATGGACCAAGTATATTAATTGCATACATTAGTGCTACCTACCCACTCGCCCCATCTACCCAAGGAGCCAGTGAGCACACAGGGATGGCTCAGCAAGGTAACAACCTCAATTCAAATCCTAACTACCAGTTCATAGTGCTTGACTTTGGGCATTTGTAACCCAAATCATTCATGCTTTCTTTCCATAAACGTATTTTGAACAGCTACCATATGTAAATTAAGGTAAGTGCTAGAATGCAGGTGTGGGGAAGTCAGGCCCTCTTCCATCTCAGACTTATCCACTTGGAATATGGCAGACAGAAATTTCAGTCTGAACTTGGACTTCTACTGATCCACCTATGAAATAAGGATTCTTCCTATCACCAGCATCTCCTCTGGCTTAAAGATAAAGCCAAACACAATTTTAAAATCCTAATGTATCATGCAGACAGTTGGAATATGGTAAGGCAAATATAAATTGAATCACTGCTAAGTGCCAGTAGTCATGAGCTCTGCTTTTCTGATATTATTTCATCTTATTCCATTCAATGATGCTGTGAGCTAAGCTTCATTATGCCAGTTTGTAGACGGAAGATTTGCAGTTTACAAAAGGCAGCAAGAGAGATGACAGTCCCTGAGTGGATTCATATCAAGAGCATTCAAGCCAGTACCAGGCTTCATTCCTTGCCAAAGCAGGCTCAGAGCACGTTCATGACTGAGGGGAGGTGGGCACTGAATGAGCAATTACAGGTGGGGCGAAGGCCATTTGAGGAGCGAGGCACTAGAAGCACATCAAATGGAAAACTCCCTAGTTTGAAAATTAGGAAGTCTACTGAGAGGAAATGAGCTTAAGCTTAAAGCTCAGAAATAGGGAAGACTCTGGCAAGACAATGGGGAGAGTGGAAGAGGTGATGGGGGCAGGAAGACTGCAGCATGAAAGCCAAAAGGGAGAGAATGCATAATGCATTGGAGATGGCAAGGAGCTGTTTAGGTCACAATGTGTGCCCAGAATATGCTTGCTTTGTTGCTTGAGCTCTGAAATGGCTCAAGCAGAAAAGTGACTTGGTCAAATGTCTGTTGTAGAAAGATCACTTTGGATGCTGGATGGAGAGGGGAATGTAGGGATTGAGGTGGGAGGCCAATTAGGAGCCTATGCCAGCTGTCTCAGTAGGAGACAATGACGGTAGCACGGGGTAGAATAAAGGCAGTGGAGAAGCAAAGTTTTGTGACCACCTGATAGGGAAGGTGAAGAAGATGGAGAAATGACTTAGGACAATTCCTAAGCACTTGCTGTAAGGACAGTACCTGGAGGGACCATTTTCTGACTTCCAGAGGAAGCACATATTGGGAGGGGGTAGCAGTGGGTTCCAGAAATGTTGCCAACATTCCTGCCCTGTTGGAGCAGATTGTGGTCATGTAAGAAGGCTATGTAGTGACCTGTAGAAACAGGAAGGCACATGGGGAAGCATCATTGAGGTGCAGGATGCTGATCAGGGAATTCTGGGAGGAGAGCAATTATCAGCAAGCTGAAACCTGGGTGGAAGCCAGGAGGGAACAGAATGGAACATGGAAGAATTCAAGGCCAGCTGGCATTTGTGCACTCAGGAAGGTAATGTAGTAGCAAAACACACCAGGCCCCTGGACTTCCTGATTTAACCAAATGCTCCCCAAGACATCTTTTCTCTGAAGACTAATGCTGGTGGCCTGAGCACCTGCTTCTCCCACCAGGAAAGGTGGAGAGGTTACCAGGACCCCTCTGTGGAAATAGCAAGGATTCACCCATCTCACAGGGTCAAGTGCAGGGATGGCAGATGGATATGGTTTTCAGTCTCCTTCCACAAAGATAACTTTTACCTAGGAAGGACTTTTTGGTTCCCTTGCTTCTAAAAGCATGGATCCCAGCTAAGTACCTTTGTTGGAGGTCCTGATAAACACCTTAAGATGTAAAGATTTTTCTCCCATGCCAGCCTGTGTGCTGTGGCTAGAGTGCCAAATCTGAGCAAATAGCTCTCTGCAGGATGTGGCCTTTGATTCTTTCTTCTTCTGGAATATGCCAAACTACAGGCAGACTATGCCTGACTTTCCCCTCACAAGGACTACTCTGTTGAGGTCACTGTGAGTGAACAGAGCCCAGTAATTGAGTACCTGTATCTCCATTTCTGTTTCTGATCTCTCTCTAGCCATGCCAGTGGCTCCCTGCTTGTGGACTTGTCCCTGAGTGACAGATTGACTCTTTCAAGATTGCAGCTCCTGATCCCATCAGCCATCCACATCCTGTGTACTCTGGGAGGCCTGTGGGAAATCCAGCCAGCTTGTGAAGATAGAGATTACTGGCACATCTGTCAGGGTTTAGTTGAACATGACTGACTAATTTATCTTACAGTGTATGAATTCTTTGCAAGTTGACTTGGCAATTTTCACTGTTCAGAGAACATTTGAAATAGAGGGGGTGCATAGAAGTAGAGAAAAAATAGATACTATTAATTTTCCATTTTTAAATTTGAGATTTACTATAGAGTCCACATCCTCTCCTGTTTAAGACTGAGCAGTGTCAGAAAACTGCAAGCTCGATTCCCAGAGACTCTGAGTTGGGGCCAATAAGCATGTTAGTGTGAGCTTGCTCATGAGATCAGACTTGGTACTTGGATAAAAGCAAAAATCTCCACCTTCAGGAACAACTACTATTTGTGAGCATAGTTTAGCATGAGATGCTGGGTCCTCACTACCTTTCTTCTTAGCCCATCTTAAAAGGCTGATGGGACGAAGTGGCACAAATTTGGATGTCAGGATATCCTGATAAACCTCCAGAAAGCTGGAAATCCTAAATAATAGCTACAGTAACCCAGCACTGTCCAGTGCAGTGCTCTGAAATGTTCTGTATGCATGCTTACTAATGTGGAAGTCCTGCCAAGTATGACTACTGAGCACTTGGAATGGGACCTAGGACTGAGGAAGTAGATTTGAAATTTTATTTAATTTTAATTAGATAGCACAAGTGTCTATTTTCCTCACTCTCCTGTGTGGTCAAAGACAATTTTCTTTAGGTACATTTGATTAGTTCTCTGAATGATGCTTGATATAAGGTTATCTATAAGTCTTCAATTTAAAACAAAATGACAATCACAGGCTGGCACATCCTGAGTAATTACTAGAGACCATATATTTGGTTGAGAACTTGACACATGGTGTCTGATTCATGGTCACTTAATGATACTATTATCCTGAGTTTTCAGATGAAGAGGCTGAGGTACCAAGAGATTAAGTAACTGGTCTGAGGCCACCTAGTCAGTGCTCATGAAACTGAGATTCACCCAAGGCAATGTGACCCCATAGTGTTACACTCTGTTGCCTGACAAGATATTTCTCAATGCCATTTCCTGGCTGGTGTTTTCAAATACAGTCAGGTCATGGCTATGAGAAGCAAGGCAGGGTCTTGAGTTCAGGAGCAACATGCAATAAACACTGGACACTCATTCACTCAGTGCTGGCAGAGTTTGAAATCTGAGTCCTAGCTAGGATGAGGGCAGTAGATACAAGTGATCCAGCCTGTGACTGGTCACCTCTCCCCAGTTTGGAGAGTGGAGAGAGAATGTTCCTGCCTGTAATCTGGGAAGTTGGATCTTCCACCAAGCTCCAGACAGAGGAAAGATAGGTTTGACTGCAAAGTAGCCATGGACTATAAGGCAGAAGGAGATCTGTATGGTAGTATTATCTGCTGGGGAGAATTCAGCCTCCCCTATATGAGGCAGACATAAGAGGCTAATCACCCCAGTGCAGTCAGGACCTGGGCTGTTTGAACCCTGGCTGGGAGCATGGTAGACACTCTGCCTGCTTCCCCTCCCCCCTTACCTCTGGGGCTTCCAGTGGAGAGCCTGGGGACACTGGTAGGTTCGGAGCTCTCAGCTATGTCCCCTCAGCACATGGCTCTGCATAGAAACAGTGTTTTGCTCCTTTAGAATTATAATTTGGGAAAGTTCCTTGACCCTTTTATTTATTGGGGTTTTGGTCATTTGGCTTTCCACTTTCCTTCCTCAGTTGCTAAAGGTCACAAAGGCTGGCTTCTCTGTGTCCTGATAGCCCATTGCCTGATTCTCACACTCAGAATTATGGCAGGTCTTGAAGGAACATCAGAGAGAATAGGAGATCAAATCCTTTCTCCTTATCCTTTGGGATTTCTCTTCTCTAGTCTTACCTAGACCTTCAAATAGCTTACACACCCACCTCCTCACCTGCCTGCCTAGCCATCTGAATTTTCTTGTCCTCAGGAATATCTGTCTGACCCCAGCTATTTTGCCATACCCCAGAAAAATAAGTAGGATTAAAAACAGAGGGGCCAGAGCAGAAAGGAGTCTTCCATGGGGAAGACATCCATCCACCACTAATGGAAGGTAAGAATGAGCATGGAGGAAGGCTGGCAAAATTGGCCAAACCCAGAGATCCTGGCCTTGAGCTAAAACAAAATGAAGATTTAGAAGTTCCTGAGATCTTGTTGTACACTAGGTAGCCTCCCTCTTAGGGCATTAGCTTTTCCTGGGTACTAATCTCCTGGCTTAAGTGTGGTGGAAAATGTCATTTTCTCTGGCAAAACTGCAGGAGCACAGTTGACATGGTTAGAAGGGATCTGGGTCTGTTTTTGGAGAATGCTGTACAAATGTGAGGCCTCTGGAGCTTGCTTTAATTAGAGGCAGTCCAAGTTCAAGTCTGAATAGTACTGATTATCCAGGGAATCTAGGCTCTCTTTGCACTGCTCCTTGCTTGTGATAGCAGTGTCCTCTGAGGTGTTTGCAGAGTGCGGGTGGCTGTTCTATCATGGTTGGCTGGGGAGCTTTGCTTTGAACGTGGCTTTGCCAATAGCCTTACATACAGATGGCTGAAAACCCCAGGACTCACCATTTGTTCTCTTTGCTTCTCCCAGCCTGTACAGACAAGGAGCTGAGGAGCCTTGCTTCCCGGCTGAAAGACTGGTTTGGAGCCCTTCACGAGGATGCCAACAGAGTCATCAAGCCTACCAGCTCTAACACAGCCCAAGGCAGTAAGACCACTCTACTTTTGCTCATTTATTTCACCGTGAATATCACATGTCTCAGTGATTAGATATTATTGATGTAACAATAGCATGTGGGGTTAAAAAAAAACAGTACATTAAAATTATACATATGTAGCTGGTGTGGTGGCACACACCTGTAACCCCAGCATTCAGGAGGATCATGAGTTCAAGGTCAGCCCGATCTACATAGTGAGTCCCTCTCTCAAATGAAAAACAATTGACTTAAAATATGTCCCTGTTGCAGAAATAATAAAATATAAAAGAGGCAATGCTTTAGAATCAAGAAAAAAATAACTTTTATTCTTAAGTCTCATTACAATACTATGACTAGCATAGATATTTTAGAAAACACATCAAGTATAAAATTCTGCCATTTTTAACTACTACAAGGTTGCTGTAGAATCTACTTTGAGGTGTCATATATACATATATAAAAATATATATATGAAAATATATATCCACGTATATGAAAATACTTGTGTGCATAGGATTAGTTTTGAATTATACTTTGTAAACTATGACATTCTTTTACCACTTAGTAAGATGACTATCCTTTTGTATTGTTGAGTAGTAGTCTGCTTTTAAAAGCTACCTAGAATCCTGACTTATGGAGATGTTTATGTTTATTAAAGTAGATCTTTATTTGATGAGATGTAATTTGTTGCTAATGCTTAGCTAATGTAAGCAACACTATGGCAAAGATCTTTGATACTATGTCCTTGTATATACTAGACAGGCTGCATTCTGTTTGCCCCAGAAACTCCAAGACTCCCTCCCCCCACCATTAGCATGCACGTTCCTCTAGGAGCCACCAGTGACCTCTGGAATGGGCAAAAGCCACACACCTTCTCCGCACCTGGGGAGAAAATCAGAGTACCCCCACACTCTGATGGAGTGTCTCCATGCTTTTAACTCCAAGGTGGCTGGGGAGCAGGCTTCTCCACATGTGGCCAACTGAATATACAATTGTTCAAATAAAGGTAGTTCTGCCACAACCTATTGAATGTATCATTTTGGTCTTACTTGATCAAAGTACAAATAGGTGTTGTAGAAACAAAGTATTTCATCCATCTCAGCTCCCATACTTGTTTGGATGGAATTTCTAACAGCAGTGCTTCTGGATTGGATGTAGGAGGTAAGAAATGACATTGCCCACACTCTTGGAATTCAGTTTGACCAGCCTCTGGTCTTCAGGCAAAATAAAAATGACTTTTAGCTTGGTGTGGTGGCACACACCTACTAGCCCAGCTACTCAGGAGACTGAGGCAGGAGGATCAGAAGTTTGAGGTGAGCCTGGGCAGCAAAGTGAAACCCCTTCCCCCCAAAAAAAATCTTTACTTTTTGGTTGTTTTTGCTGTCCATGGCCTTCTCAGTGAACTCAGAGTCTCAGTGAAGGTGAGCTAGGAGACAATTATCCTCTTGCCTTAAAAGAAAGACAGCCATTGCTTCCCCGAATCCAAGGGTCAGTCTTGGTGGTTATGTCAGTAGGAAAGGTTAGATGAGATTGGTTTTGTCTTATCCTGCCAGAAATCCCTTGGGAGTTTATGAATGATGAATTTAAAGAGGGTCTTAAAGCAACTTTGTCCCTGCTCCTCCAGGAGCTGCCTGGCTCTAAGCTTTAAACAACTTTTCAGCTCAGCAGAGGGATGTGAGGACAAGCAGCTGCTTGCAGCCTCCAGAGACTGTCTACAGACAGCTGGGGAACCTACAAAAGACTTGTTAGAGCAGGAGCAAATTGAGTTCCCAGGAGGCTTTAGGTTGGGTGTCCTTGAAGCTATTGGGATGAGAAAAGTGTAAGGAATGATGCTTCATCAGCCCCTAAGGCCAGAGGAGGGAGGATTTTTTTTTGTCTGTCCAGGAGTTCCGAAGGGGAAGCTGTAGAACCAGGCTGTGCCCTGCCCACTTGACACTAGCTCAGACCCTGGCAGCTGCAAATACCTTGTAGGTGACCTTTTCTAGAACTTTAGAAGAGGACAAAGTAGGCTTGACTGTTGCCTCCTAGCTTGGCAATCTTTCAATAGTCAACTCCTCTGTCCTGGGTAAAAAAATGTAAACATTCTATACAAAAGCAGTGAACCAAATGCCGTCACAACAAACCACCCTTCAGTAGGCCATAAGGACATCATGAGCAGAGAGACCTGACAATTCCAATTCCCAAAGGAGGGACCTTGTTATGTCCCACAGTCCCATCTGGGAAAAGGAAGATTTTTTTTTTAAGAATGAAATTAACTAATAAAAGTTTCTTAAATGCAAAGATTTTGTTGGAAATGTTAAGTTTAAAAGTAGGGCTGGTGGAGTGGCTCAAGCCATAAGAAACGTGAAGCCCTGAGTTCAAACTCCAGTGCTACCAAAAAGAAAAGTCCCTAGAAAATTTCTTCCAATGAATATTGATTTGCCACTTATGTGCCTATCATGCTGAAGGTACTCAAGGGAACAAGACAGCATTTATCCTCAGGGAGCTTATGATAAGCAGCTACAGCAAGGTCAGAGGAGCACCGAACTCCCAGTGTAGGCCTTTCTGTAAGGGTGCTGCTGTAAACCGAATGGGCATGCCTCACTTTCTAAGCTCACTTTCTAAGCAGGAAATATGGAAATCTGATGACCAAGTTTGGGCAGGGACCCCAAGAGTGGGCAGTCAACCCCATCAGGACCCTCTGTTTCATCACCTTTCACTGGCTGTCCCCCAAACATGATGCCTGGATGTCCTCAGGGCGGACATGTCCAGGAAGGCACAACATGGAAAAGAATCTAGGGCTGGGCAGCCTGGGTTTAAATCCCACTTCTGCAGTTGTATGACTTTAAAAATGTAACTCAAGCTTTGAGCCTTATCTATTCATCTATAAGTGGAGATGGCATTTCACAGTACCGCTACAATGATTTCATGAGATTATTAAGTATAAAGTGCTTTGTATATACTGACACAAAAATTAACTTTTAAACAGGGCATGGTGGCACGTGCCTATAGTCCCAGCACTCAGGAAGCTGAGGCAGAAGGATCTTCAGTTTGAGGCCAGCTTGGGCTATGTAGCAAGACGGTGTCTCAAAAAATCAAAATAACCAAAAAAAGTTAACTTTTATCATCAGTATAAAATGAGTCCCAGAAATCCAGTTTCTAGAATAACCTGAGATTGTATCACACTTTTGGCTCTGAAAGAAACATGAGTTTTCATTTTGGTGCATGACTTCTCAGGGATTTGGCACTGTGGTCCCCATACCCTGAGTATAGAACTAAGTATTGTCATTCAAGTGCGTACAGTTTCCATTGTGGAAACAAGCAATTCTTTAAGAAAACTACCTCCCCTCCCCTGGGGAAATGAGGAAGAAATTGTTGTCTAGGTTGATTTGGATTCCATCTCACGTATCTCCATAAGGGATTGGAGAAAAGAATGTGGACAGAGGCAGTTCCTGGCTTATTTTGCCATTAGAGTTCTGGCTTTGGGGTTTAACAGTCCTCTGGGAGAGAACGAGTGCTTCTGGATTATGCTGTTTTCTTTTGTTTTGGTTTTTCTATTTTTTTCCTAAGAAAACAGTTGGTTTTATAAGTTGTATCTCTTTCCATGTTTGTATTTTTCCTTCCAGACAAACTTTTCTGTTTTAGCTGGTGTATTCCATGAGAACATGTATTTACATCACAGAGAAATTAGCATCAGGATTTCTTCCCTTCAGACCATATTTTCCTCAAATACTAACTTCTGTATTACACATCTTAATATGCTTCATTAAAAAAAAAATCTATACTTCCACTGAGTCTGTCCTGGAAAGAAGACAGCCTGAAGGTGAAGGGTGGGATGGGCTCTTGCCTCTTCATTGGGTGGAAACATCTAGACTTTGTGGTGGCTGAGATGTGTCTTGCCCTCGCAGGGTTTGATACCAGCATCCTGCCCATCTGCAAGGATTCCCTGGGCTGGATGTTCAACAAGTTGGACATGAACTACGACCTCCTGCTGGACCACTCTGAGATCAATGCCATCTATCTGGACAAGTATGAACCTTGCATCAAACCCCTCTTCAATTCTTGTGACTCCTTCAAGGATGGCAAGCTCTCTAATAATGAGTGGTGCTATTGCTTCCAGAAGCCCGGAGGTAAGGCAGGAGGGAACTGAGGTCCTGGGCAAGGAAGGGCCACATATCACACACATGAGGGAGACAAACAGAGACCACTGTGAAGAAAGACATGGCTAGAGAATAAAGAATTCATCCCATGTTAAGGGTTGGCCCAAAGGCTCTATATTAGAAAGCTAAGAATATAATCAAGGAGTTGCTTATTTGAACTGCTCCTTTCTTTGGGAAAGTCTCCCAAACACATTTTACCTCTGTATTTTCATTTATAAAACTGGTGTATAGAAACCTAAACCACATAATTTTCATTGTCACTTCCCCTTAGAAAAATCCACTCGTCCACATCTTTAAGTTAAGTATGGATTTTAGATAAGGACCTCATGCAATGGAGAGTCAGCTTGCAGTAATAGTCAGACTAGGTGCAGGTTCTTTGACTTCAGGTGAGGCCCCTTGTCTCTCTCAGCTTCCTTGGGAGGTGGATGCTCAAGTGTGACAGTTTATTAATTCAAGGGACCAGCAGAGGCTGATTTGCATTTGGATTCCAATATCTGATCCAGCATGGGTGAGGAACCAAGACAACACTGACAGGCATGGCTGGCAGACCCCACCCTTAGGCATGGAGAATGGCTACTCATAATACTTAAATTACACATATATTTATCACAGTAAAAATGTAGGTGTATATACATTTAGAGGATTATACGATACATTTCTAGAAGTAGCATTGTTAACTTGAGCCTTATTCTCGAGTCGCTCTCCAAAGTTGTATTAGATATTTTTGGTGAGAGTAAAACCTAAGGATATCTGTTTCTCCATGTCATTGCCAGAAAGACATTACATCCCTGGTAGGCTTTATTTCATCTGTCATGAGTTAAGTTAAGCATCTTTGCTTATCTTTGAGACATTCTTGGATTGTGTTGAAATGACTGCATGTTCTTTGTAAATTTTTAAGGCCCTTTTGTTTTTGTTTTTAGTAGGAAACTCACTCTTGTCATCATGGGTATTGAAGATACTCCTTTCCGATATTTTTGTTTGCTAGGAAGAAATTTTAAAACAAATCATAAAACTTAGAAAGTTATTTATCATGTTTTCCTCAATACCTTCTGTTTTGCTATGGTTTATTTAAATCTCGTATCTCTCTAGATTGTGTGTGTGCATATACAATCAAGTAAGGTCTTAGTCCCTGTACCCACCACTGCAGATGGATGGATATCCAGTTACCCTTCTGTCATTTATTCACTAACTTATCTTTCTACTGTCAATTTGAAATGCTGTCTGTAAGATATTATTCCTGATACTCTGTCCTATTTATGTAACTATTCATGAATCAGTTCTATACTATTTAAATCACAATTGGTTCACAGGATGTCTTAGTATCTGATGGACCCATTCTCTTCTGCCTTTCATCATCTTTTCAGAATTTTCCTAGATAGTCATGTATTTCCCTTCCTTGTGGACTGTGATCAGCTTATCCAATAAAAGAACAGAAGGTGTCTATCAGTTTCCTTTCTTGGTGCCATTGTAAATGAAATCTATTTTGTTCATTATAAATCCTCACTAATGGTTATTTCAATATTAAGCTTTTTCCAACTACCTTGCTAAATTCTCATTTTGTTTATAAGTTATTCTAGTTGGTTTGCTAGGATTTTTCATTGTGCAATGTATCATTTGCAAATAGAGATAATTTCTTTCTGTTTTCTAATTATATCACAAATTAATGTTAAATAATAGCCATGTTTTTTCCTTTGGTATAAAATACTTGCAGAGATGCAGCATGAAGCCTAACAACTGTAGGCTTGAATTCATTTAAATTAGCCTGGGTTCCTCAAAGCCCAGAGGTTCAGTGCCAGGGGAGGCAATTTACTGCTTTAACCCAGACATGGAGCGGGCCACAGGAGACATCTCTGGACAGCACCTAAGGGACAAAGTCAGGATTCTCACCTGGGACATGGTGTCCAGTATCAGTTGAACAGAATAATTTGCTGTAGTTCTTTGCTCCTCATCTTCTTTAGTAAGATGGTTCCATTATTAGACTCTCACTCCCTGATTAGAGTCAGTTGCAGGATTTTATATTCATTCAGTTATTTATCTAAGATGAGGAAGTCATATTTAGTATTTCCAACATATTCACATGCATGTTTGAAACTCAAAATTTTCTTCAAAGCATTACTTTAGCTGAAGACCAGAGGTATTGATATCTGATACTTCAATTATGATTACTTTGTAAATATTCTACATTAAGGCTCTGAGTGCCTCTTTGACCCAATGAAAACTTGAGAGCACTTTTAAGCTTTTCATATTAGAAGGATTATTTGTTGAGTAGTTTTGATATACTGCTGTCTTTGCATATCCAAAAATTTTTCTTGAAATACCAAGGTGCTAAGTATAAGCTTCCTATACTTATTTTCCTGATTATTTTTCAAAACAGTACTGGTACAGAAACTATATGATATAACCATTTGCCTGGAAGCCAGAATTTTCCTGTAACATTTCTCAGGTTTTTTTGCTCAGTCTGTGTCATGTCACTTTTACCCGAGATATGTTCTGCTCCTTTGACCTGTAGTCTTTTGTAGTCTTTCCTTAGGCTCATCAATTTCAGGAAAACTTTCAGGAAAGTTTTGGGCTTCATTCCTTTAATTTGCCCAATTTTATTCTTTGTCATTTTTACCCTTGAGCTTGTGCACAGAACTCTATGGTAATTTTTGTCACCTGGTCAGCAGCAAACATTTTGTCTTGTTCTTTCATCCATTTTTGAGTAGATTTAATTTTTCCTTTAAAGTTTTTAAAAGTCACTGTAGAATAATTCTAGAATTAAACATAAACTGGCTAGTGTTTATATGAATAATTTTGATTTTACTTCTTTGGAGTAGATGACTAAGTGTCTTCTCTATCTTTTCTACATAGTCTCACAAAGATGAGAATTCCCATTTGCAAAACAAATTTAGTTCCTTGCTTACATGGTTACTGGGAAGATTAAGAGAACATTGCCTGGCAATAAGTGGTAGTTATTTCTAATCACAGATGGAGTTGTTTCTCCTATTCTTTGTTGTTTTCACTTGGATCTTTCTCCTTTCCTCTGGATGCATCCTAGTAAAACCAAAAGTCAACAAAATATGTCTCACAACCACTTTCTCTCACAGAACAAGCAGCAAGACCAGGTGGTCCTGTGAAATCCATAAGGTAATAGATGTAAGTAGGTGCTTAGAGATCATTTACAGATAAGCCAAAGGTAAGAGCCCAAAGGGCCACAACACCTCACCAGTGCCAGGAAGATCATAAGCCAGCAGCAGAACCTCTCAGAAACATGAGACTGGCAAAGGCAAGTCATGGACAAACCCCAAAGGTCTAGTGTGGTCACTTTGCTTAGAATGGATGCAATTTCTTCTCTGAGGAGGGAGAAGAGGTCCACCCTGCTTAGCCATGTGGATTCATGATGGTCATAGACATGCAGTTTACAGCTGAGGGCTCTGTGATTGAGAGCAGGAAAGAGACTTGCTATAGTATTTAGGAGAATGTGGTAGAACCCAAATTGAAAGTCTCACTTTTAAGTGGTATATTCACCTTTCAAGGTCTCTCTGATGTCTCCATAGCTGGCCCTGGAGGCCTTTGTTTTGCTTTCCTAGGTTAGTTCTAATCCTCTTTGCTCCTAGTGCAGGACCTGGAATAGATCAAGAATTTGTTATACCTCTGGTTAGGTTGGTCTGTGGATTTAGAGCATTTTTCCACTAGTGTGCCTCTTAGCCCCAGTTTTCAGCTCCTAGAAGCCTTCACTGGGTCCTTCCTCCTTGGTATAAGGGAAAATGTCTATTAGCAAATCACCTATTAAACATATTATATTTGCTTGAGTTGGTGGTGGAAATAAAAATTCCTGTACATTGCAAGTAGCCTCCAAATGCTATTTTAAGTACTTTGTGGTATGAGTTTTTTTTTTTTTAATTAGTACCACTAATGGCTGAATTTGTTTTGTTGCATAGTAACAGCATATGGAGCAATTCCACTCCCAGGTGTGTCATTGTCTACATTTCACATCAAGAGCGAAAGTCAATCATTAGAGATTATATCCCATACCATCTGGAAACTGACTTCCATAAATTATTTTCTAGGTCTCCCTTGCCAGAATGAAATGAACAGAATTCAAAAGCTGAGCAAGGGGAAAAGCCTATTGGGTAAGTACAATTTCTTGCCACTCGTTTAAACAACTAATTAAACCATCCACGTCTCTTGTAATATTCAGCACTGCAATGGTTATTCAATTAACCATTCAAGGCCAGTGTCTTGTGAAGAAATACCTCCTTTTCTCCCAGACAGCTGGTGATGTGTCAAGCAGATGGACATACAAAGTGCATGGCCTTGCTGGTTAAGTGCCACATGTTCCACCAGCAATAAGAAAGGTCAGACCAGGACTAGTGGGCGGCTCAACCAGGGTTGTAACCCAGGACCATCTCTCCTGCTACCTCCCCCTGATCCTGGGCTACAATAATCCTTGGATTTCTCTTCTTTCAAGTAAAGCCATTGAATAGAACTCACAAGTATTTTTTCCAGCTGTAACAGACAAAGTAGATACACTAGAGCATTTCCTCTGTTTCCCAGAGGAAAGGGTCTAGGGTGGCTAGACATTTCTCCTCTAATGTTTAGGCAGATAAGTAGGTGTGAGTGAGTTTGTGTGTTCCCTAACACACAAATCTGTAATAAGGTGAAAGTAACAAATGGTGACATTTACAGCAGGCCATCATGAAGACACTGGCAATCCTCACTTGCTGGAAAAAAAAAAAAGAATCTAACTTTGTTTTTTTGCTTTTTCAAGACAGCTGCAACAGTAATTTCAGAATTATTCTTGTTAAGCATTCAGAGGCAGGTGCATTCCCTAAGCAGTCTGTTATTTCAAAAGTTTATCGATGTAGTTGGAGGAAATAGGCAACTTTTCCTACAGATTGTCCAATGCAAGCAGTCTTTGAATTCTGGCAGATTCTTTTCTTAACTTTTGAGTCACCTACAGTATAAACTCCCATTTGCTTCTACTTTTGGAAATCACTTTTCCTCAGTGATTGTGATTCTGAATTCTCAGGGTCTAGAAACCTATTCCCTGTAAAGATACAAGAACATCTTTCTGGCCTAAAGGCAAAGGGGACAGACCCCTCCTCTATCAGTCTTTCCAGTCCGAGTACTTATGCTGACCAGTCTTACTCTTCCACCTAGGATTGGAGTGATGTGCCTAAGATCTGCACGGAGGCATTTGTTAATAAATTCTTCTAATGGACCCCAGCGCACAGAAAAGAAATGCCTACCTCTGCACTACCATGAGTCTCACTTGCCTTATTACACATAGAGTTTACTCTGGCTGATGCACATAATGCCATTTATTTCATTACAAATTATTTTGTGTAAGGGGAAATCTCCTAATATAATAACTGTGTATTCAGGGATATTCAGTTTCAAATAAATAAAACAAGCAACAACAAATTATAATCAGATATAATTACTACTTACTTAGAAAAAGCAATATTAAATTATAGATTTAGCACAGCATCTGCTTCTTACCAACCTGGGGGCTCAGCTCAATCTTTTTGTTCTATGAAGGGCATCTGTTTTCTAACATTTCCCCTGCTCCATATACATGGTCATTCTGCTTACTTGAGAATCTGTTCACAAAACTCTGCCTTTTGGTTCTTTGGGCTCTTGAAAGTGGCTACTTTTTGGTTTCTGTCTATTACTCCTTAAAAACTAGGGATCATATATACTGATAGGGTAATGGAGGCTCCGGTGGGACACCAGCAGCATCTTCCTGCCCATGACCTCTGACAACCTGATGTCTAACCTGGTTAGTAGAGTGTTCAAGGGTAGGTCCTAGGCTCAGCTAGATGTAAGTTTAAAATCTGGTTCAAAATTGTACAAATCTCTCCTTCCAATGCTGTATATTTTTTTCCTGGGATCATTCTGTGAAATGAAAGGTACATTTGAAAGCACAATTACTCTAAAAGACATCAGCTATAAAATTAGGAAACAGAACACCACAGTAGTAAGCAGGGGCCAATGTAGAGGGTAGTAATTCCCCAGGTCACACTATGAATTTTTCCACAGAAAATGAACACGTGATTATGAAACAGATAATCAGATCAACAGACTTCCTACCAGCAATAGTAATGTAAGAGGTGAAAATAGTGTTTAACCTTTTCCCAATGATTGTTCAAGTGTTCTGACAAAAATATTCTCAAAATAAGATTCAGTACACTTACTAACCATAGACTTACTCTACTAGACAAATGATCCTGGAAGAATTAGTGTAGCTGCAATTGTGAAAAAGTAGTGACATGGTGTTAAATCTAAATAAATGTTTTGATACAAGGCAGAATTTAGATTAATGACTACAGGGCAATGAGAAAAAGGTGATAAAATGTGTTAAATTTCTAGCTTATCCAATAGGAAAAATATATATAAATTTACTTTATGCATCTCTGGAAACTCTAAGGATAGCCGCCAGAATATCAGAAATGGAATAAATAGTGTATTTTTAAATGTATGGAATAAAGACATGCATAACATGACAAATAAGAAACAGAAATGGTAGCAATAATTTGTAATCACCATAAATAGGAATGAACCAAACTCATTTATTATGAAACAGAAATCTAAAACACTTCTGCAGAATGCAAAAAATTAAAAGATGCTAAATATTCCTTTTTATAACAATGATAATGTCTCTCCAAAGAGTATTATCTTGCCAAAATGTTGCTTTTACCCCATTCTGCCAGCAATTGGTATACTCATAAAAACGTTAGTAGAATTGCTAAGTGGTACAGTTTAAGAAGACAAAAAAAACATATAGAAGAATTGAATATGATTAGATTTAATTCCCTGTGCTAATCATTAAATATTTAATCTTTCAAACACACATGAAGTATCTGCCATGGACAACACCACAAAACAAAACTCAACAAATTTCAAACAAGCACATATCAGATTCACTAGACACAATCCAAAATTACAAGTAATGATTAAGATCACCAAAACCTGTATATAAAACTATATTAACTAGATTTTTCAACTCAAAAAGCTACAAGAACACATAATAAACTGGAATGATTAAGATCAAAGCAGTAAACAACGAAATAAAAACAACAGTGACAGCAGCATATCAGAGACAATTTCTTTCTCTGAACAAAGATACCTTGGCAATGTGAGGTGAAGAGGCTCAAACACTGCCAAGAACTTCAAATAAGCTCAGGTACAGGGAAACACCCTAGATTTGTGGCTTTCAAACTTTACTTTGGAAGGTTTATGAATGAATGGTAAGTTTTGACTCCGTGCTTTTGAGGTAGTGCACCCCAAACTGCTTTTCTGGAAGGTTTTTTTCATGTGCTCAAGTGGTAGAGCACCTGCCTAGTAAACCTAGCAAGCATGAGGCCATGAGTTCAAACCCCAGTACTACCAAAAAAACCAAAAAAAAAAAAAAAAAAAAAAAAAACCCACTATAAGCCAATTTACAGCAATTATGAAAACCTATGTTAAATTGATACTCCCAATTACCCAATTTAGGACGGAGTAGAACCATGAAATTCATCAAAATAGTATTTCCAACTCCCAAAATAGGCAACGGACTAGAATAGTTTTATGGATGAATCCTTAAAGGAAGAGATTTTTCTCATCTTATACAAAATGTCTAGACTATAGAGAAAGATAGAAAAATATCAGAATCATCTTATGAATCAGGAACAACTCTTGAAAAACTTACTAAGCCTCTATTACTTAGTCACATATTTTCAAAAACACTCACAATTCGAATTACCAGTAGTGTTCTAGTACCAACGCAGTGTTTACCCCAAGAAAGCAAAAAGCAGACTTTTCTGATATACCTCACTCATAATCCACTAAAAAAAAGTATACAGTGGATAAAACCATATTAACAGTAATAGACACGTGTGATTCAAAGGGAAAAAGAGGAATTCCTTAGAGAAGGAATGCTGTCTAGCCTTGGGCAAATTGCTTAATCCCAATTCATCACTATTTTCATCTGTAAACAGGAGGTAAGGAATAGCACCAACAACACCAAACTGTGGGATGGTTCAAGGAGATAATGCAAGTGATATAGTTGGCCATTATTGCCTTTGTTAGAGGCAGGATAGCAGTGACAACAGTTAATGGCTTGGAACAATGCACCAGTTGTCATTCATAAAATGCTGTTACTAGGCAGCAGGAAGAACAGAAATGAATGCATTTAGATACTTTCATAGCAAACAAACAAAAACAAGGTCTTTGTCATTGGAGTTTGAGAAACACAGCTTGGAAGTCAGATTGAATGATGTGAAGTTAGACTGAATATTTTGCCTTGGGTAGGGCAGCTTACTTTGTTTTCTGTACCTCAGTTTCCTATTAAAAAGTAACAATGGTACAGACTTCCTAGACTTGTGATAACAGATTGCATGAACACATGTATAGACACATACATATGTGTGTATGGTTTAGATCAGTATCCAGAATGTACATAAATATTCAATACATCTTAACTATTATCAAGCCTGTTGGAAAACTGAGCTCCACAGAGTTCGATGCATTTGGGCTCCTAAGGGCCAAGGTCCCTGTGATCTTGTCAAAGTAATAACCGACCAGTTTCAGCTGTGAGCCCTCTTCCATGTCTTGAATGGCATACACCCTGAGCTTTTGCTTCTCTGATTAAAGTTGCATCTTTTGTTCCCACAGGGACATTCATACCTCGTTGTAATGAGGAGGGCTATTACAAAGCTACGCAGTGCCATGGCAGCACAGGGCAGTGCTGGTGTGTGGATAAATATGGGAATGAACTGGCTGGCTCCAGGAAACAGGGCGCAGTGAACTGTGGTGAGTAACACAATGTTACTGTGTAACTGTGTGCCGTTACACAATGACCCTGGATGACCTGTGAGTCCTCATTATGTAAGGATCATGGCAGAAAAATTTCCAGATGCAGTCTGGCTACAATGAAGACACTAGAATCCTGTGGGCTTGTATGTAGCTAACTTTGCAAGTGTCAGGAACTCGCCATTACCAATCGGGGCAGGGGGTGGGGGGACAGTTCACAGAGAACTGTCATAGGCCCGAATCAACTGAGGATGCCATTGCTTTTCATTTAGGATTCTAAACCTCCCAAGAAGGTAGAAACATTTCAGGAATTCTAGGGCTTATAGCAGAGCAATTTGTGGTCCCTGCCACAGAGACTAACCCCAGCTGGGCGGGGATGTTACCATGTTCAGAAAATAAATAAATGGTTGTATCTTACAAGTTGAGTCACAGGCAAAGGGAACTCCAATATGGGCCATGAGAAACTAACCTGAAACTTTTTCATGCTCTGTCAGAAGAGGAGCAGGAGACATCTGGGGATTTTGGCAGCGGTGGTTCCGTGGTCCTGCTGGATGACCTAGAGGATGAACGGGAGCTGGGACCAAAGGACAAGGAGGGGAAGCTGAGGGTGCACACCCGGGCCGTGACAGAGGACGATGAGGATGAGGATGACGACAAAGAGGATGAGGTTGGGTACATATGGTAGTGCCCACAGGAAGAGGACACACATTTTGCACACAATTGCAAGTCACTTCCTATTCCTGCATTTGTATCTAAGACTCCAAGGTGTGCTCTCCACTGTCGCTCTCTGTACCTGACCCAACGTCTGGAAGACAAGTGCTGGTTGGAGCATTCTGATTTTGCATATGGTTGTGTGGGAGAAAGGGTGTTGTTTGGGCTTTTGTGTTCATTGTTTTCTATGTTTTGGATGAGAGAATAGCTGGCTTAATTATAGTCTCCTTCCCTCCTGTGCAATTTTTGCAACAAGCATGTGATTTATGTGGAATCCAACAGTGCAGGGACCCCCCCTCCACCCTCTCGAACGTCACAGATCCTTTATATTGCCTACATTGGAGGTTATTACAGCATGGTTCCCAGCCTTATGATGTCTAAGTGCTTTTCTTGTGTCCTGTAGGTGTCGTGGAAAAGACCACACTGTACCTCTTCTTCCTGCCTCACCACCCCTGCTGTTTATTATTAAAATTAATTTTTCACATCAACATATCTGGCTTCCTACAAACAACAGCCTTAATTGAGTCAAAAGTCACTTTGGGGAATGCATTTATTAAAATTGGGGTCTGGATGCTTCTCTCTGAGCATGCATAAATATGTATGTACAGAAGACACTGTATCCATGCCTTACACACATGTACTCGCCTCTTGGAAAAAGTGTCTGGTTATCATCTAGTACAAATTCACTCAAAAAACAATTACCTATTAGCTTGTCCAGACCTGGAACGTAGGAACTTGGTATCAAGGTCCTGATTTGCACTCAAAATGGGCACTTGTAGCCTGCCTGCAAGCTAAGGTTTTTGCTCTATGCATTTGTAGAGTTACTGGAAACCCCTTCAAATTGGATGAGCCTCCGTTTGCCTGAATTGTTTTTCCCACAGAAGCCATGCAACTCCCACTCGGGCAGCTTCACAAGCCATCTCTTTTCATTTTAGCTCACAGCCCCCTCAGGCTGCTGCAGTCCCGGCTGTGGCAGTACCCCCTTCCCCGACCTACTCAAGGGCTTTTTCTGAGGCATGCGCACCTCCCCCTGTTCTCTGAGAAGACAGTGCCATGGTATTCCTTAGAAGAAAATTTAGGATTCTTAGTTTGGCTTTGGCTTCCTTTCTATCTACAAATCATGATGAGGGTACAAAAATCTGTATAGCATTGTGTTTTTGTTTTTAATCACCACCACTTGCAAAGAATCTCAATTGGATGCCTAGGAAGAACTTTGGAGTCGCACATGGAAACTAGGGTTGGGTTTTTAAGATTGTGATACTACTGGAGCAAGCTTTTTACCATTGCATTTTCTCCAAAGCTCATTATTGGAGTCCAGCTCCAAATTTGGTAGGATCCTCATCTCCACATTCCTTAGGATTTCTCCCACACAAGTACCAAAGAGTAGTTTTCGAGATGGCCCCATTCAGGTCTGGGCCTGTCCACAAGCTCCTGCCCTCTCCTCTTTCTACTGAACTACTGAACCAGTAGAAAGCTACCCTAGTCAGACATCCAGATAAGACTCACAGACCACATTTCTCTCTCTCGCCTTCCCCATGTGAGCCAGCACCCAAGACAACCACACCAACTCAGGCCACAACTATAATTGCCACAGCAGTTGACCAACTTCTCAGTCCAAATTGACCATTTGTGTGTAGCAATGCATTTTAAATTAGCCTTTCCCGGTCCTGTACAGGATAGACAAAGTAGCAAAAGTAGCATTAGCCCTAGAGTTGGTCTCAGATGGGAAGTGATGTACTTGGTTTTACTAGCTCTGTTGGCTTGATAGATACATACAACTAGCACCCTAAAGTTATGTAAGTCCTTTCTGCACATGGTGACCTTAGACAAGCTCTGTATTTGAGTTTCAACTCCATCATCCCTGCTTCCATAGTTTTTCTTCCCCTCAAACAAAACTGAGAGAATAATTTAGAAAACAGGTGCTTAATTGCAGCTAAATTATAATAGCACACATAAATAATCAAGATGTATTTTCAAAAATCTCAGTTTAGACCATTAAAGAAAGCCATTGACGTTATCTCCTCTAAGCTTGGCAAAATGCACAAGAGGACACATTAAAATTGACAAATTGATTTCACTTAGAGAAACTTCTAGGAACAGAGTGAACCACTGATTTTAATTTGCCTAATTATCTTATGACAAGTGTCAAATTAAGACGACACTTAAAGATCCTTAGTTTTAACTTAATGATGGAGAAGAGGGCTCAATAGGCAATTCCCAGGAAGGTAATGACATACCGTTTGCAGAGCTATTCCAAAAAGATATTTAGATTCATTAAAATATTAAATAAAAAAGCCCTTCTAAGACTGGAGCCCAAAATCAATGGAGTAACATTAATACCACGTTTTATGTCTTAACTTTGGCATGGCAGAATTAGATTTTTAAAGATCTTTGGTACTTTCCCCTACTACTTCAGATTAGATTTTGAGTTACCTTATTCTTACAAGTAAAATTTCTGTTTTCCTTCTTTTGGAAAGGAGCCCTTCAGTTACAGTGACCAAGAATACAGACAACATTGATTTTTGTAAACAGAAAATAGTATTGTGATAATCTAATCCTTTGCTTGAGTAGGTATTGAGTTGAATTCTCACTAACTCATTTTTGGAAACTCTTTAGGGAATAGTTTTATCCTTATCCTATGAATAGCTATTTTACTGAATGCCATTAGTAAGGCATCTAACTGAAATCCAAGAATTATCTTCTGCCATAGCTGGTCATCTGTTAGGTATTAATATAATACCTTTTTGTTCCTACAAATACTCTAGGCATGAGAATACCCTATCACTGAATTTGAGATTTCATATTTGCTTCTCATTCTTTCTATCCCTGTAACAGCAAATGACCACGTGTCTGTCCAGGTCTGACCCTCTGCTCTCCTGGGATGCCATTTGCATTTGGTTTTGGTTTGCTTTGACCACAATGTACAGTAACATCCAAGAGCCCTTTCTACAGTGGGTGGTTTTTGGTCTTTTTATACCTTTTTCTCAAAGTCACTGATGTTTGTCCCTGTTAAATGTGTAGCCTTGTAATGAGAGCTCATCAAATCCAGAGTGTCACTTTGTTGTCCCTATTGTAGAGGAAATAGTGATGTAGAAAAACTAGTATTCTGAATGCTTTTCCACATAGACTTATCTGGAATGTGAATACAACTCTTCAGTTAATAGCAAATGCTTAATTGTAGTCTTGAGTAGGTGCATTTCTGTCTGTCACAATAAATTTTACTTTGTCTGCAAGATCTGAGTGTTTACATTTTGTTAGCTTGGATGTGAACTCACCAGCCAAAGGGGACTGCCTCCATGGCTCTCAATCAAGGCTGCCATATGTGGAAAGAGTTGACCTGCAGTGGTCCAGCCTGGCCTGTCCTCGCTCAGCATACCCTGACACACACATGCCTGGTGTCTGCACCCTTCTTTTAGCTGTTTTTTCCTCTGTTGGGTTCCAGTTTCATTCTTATTGTCGTCCTACTTACAACTTTTTCTTTTTTTTTTTTTTCTTTCTTTCTTTCTTTTTGTTTTGCTGTACTAGGGTTTAAATACAAACTCTCTACCAATTTAGCTCCACCCCCAGTTCTTTCACTTTTAGTTTACTTTTTTTTTTTTTTCCAGATAGGATCTCATGCTAACTCTTGAACCATGAACTCCATACCTTCACCTCCTGGGATTAGAGGCATGTGCTACCATACCTGACAAACTTTTCCAACTCTACTTATCCTTTTCTCTCCAGCTAGTGATTCTTTAATTATTCTCAGGGTGGGGACCTCTCCCCCTTTACAAGGACCCCGCTTCCCCACTCACGAATTAGCACACCAGATGCCAAATATCAGTAAGCACCCAAATGTCCTTTCCACCTTTATTTACATTCAGGCCAGTGTGTTTAATTATACCCTGAGTGAGTAATTTCACCATGAGTTGAGATAGAAACTATTTTATGAATAATTCCATTCCTTTACCCCGTGGGTGATATTTTATAGACAGTTTACAGATTGACAGCTCAAGAAAAAAAAAAAAAACAACAAAGTAACTAATGCTAGGAGAACAATGGCCCAAGTGAAGCCCTGGAGATTACCCAGGAGTGGGCGTGTGTTCACACACTCTAAATGCCTCTGCAGTCAGCAGGGTTTCACGGGCAAAGCCCCAAGTTTCTTCTGAACTTGCACCTTCCTTCATGCACTTTGATCTTTCCGAGGCAAGGAAAGCCACTTCCTTTTCCAGCACTGGTTTGTAGCTAAGTAAAATGGTTATTAAACTACTTTCTCAAAAATTGTAGTCCTAAGATTGATTTTGATCTAGTGATTCACAAAAAGAGGGAGATTGAAAATTTTCTTGAATCATTTGGCCTTTTTGGGTTAAATGGTACCTGAGTACATTGGGTGGGTGGATGGGTGGATGGTGGGTGGGTGGGTGGATGCCACTGTGGACAGGCAACACACTTAGTTCCAGGAATGTAAAGATAAGTCAGACCTGCTGGCTGCTCTGAAAAGTTATCTCCTTCTTGCAAAAAGAAAAACACAGCAGTTTCAACTTAGACTGAGAGATGTCATCACCAATGCCAGTGGCTAATAAAGCCTTATTAAAGCCTGCCTGCTGTGGTTCCTTTCATCCATCATCCCTTGGATTTCCTCCTATCTCTCGGGTATTCCTCTTTGGTGTCCTGGACACCCTATTCAATGAGTTCTTTTAACACTGCTGTTTCTCTGGACTGAGTCCCTGCCCATGCATGCTTTCAAACATCCTCGCCTCTCTGAGGAGCTCCCCAGTCTCTGTCTCCAGTGTGGCTTTGACTTCTACTCAATTCTGTTTAGCTAATTCTCCTTGAACTTCCACTGATGCCTCAATTCCAAGCCCTAAGACATAAAAATGACAGAATCTACATTGGCTGCACCGACAATTGCCGTCAGTAAGGCTTTTCTTAAATCCTAACAAACATGAGCCACAGAAGACAAGATTGACAAATGTGCCTCCATAAAAGTTAATAATGAATCATAAACAAACTTAAAAGATAAAAAAGAGGCTAGAAAGATACCAGTGACATAAAACAGATGAAAGATTAAGGTATGAAATATATTTCAAACTCCTACCAATCCAGAAGAAAACTACAACCCAACAGACTAGTGA